CAGTCGACTGCAGCATCGCAATCCATGCCTGATCTCTCGTCCACCGCAATGGGTACCTCGAGTTCTTTTTCCGTGACCATGGAAACCGCTCCAGGGGAGCAAAAATCACATAAAGAGTATCTGGAAAAACAGGCTGCGGCCGCTCAGATTATGCTCGAGGCAAAGCGGCAGTCTCAGTGGACGTCGAGAGCTGCTGAGGAACGCGCTGCCAGGGAGCGTGAGGAGGCGGAACGTCGTCGACGTGAACAAGATCAAGCTCGAGAGGCAGAACGAAGGAAAGAAAACGAAGCTAAGCGTGAGGAAGCTGAAAGGCGGAAGAATATTGAACTGAGAAAGCGGGAGGATAGGCTTGCTCGTGGGGTTAGTTTCGTGTGCAATTTCTTATCCGTAAACCGACAATTTACAGTTTTTAGTGTCCTCAAATTCAAGCTTTTCTAATGATTCAATGCGTCCACCCCCCTGCCAACCCATATTTTCTTGACTGGACGCTTGTAGTTATCTTCAGTGGGTGAAGTTTAGCTCAACAGCCGAGGTCGGGCTAATTTGGTTTTGACGTCGTTTCTCAAATCCTCAGGCTGTTCGGTTGTGCGAGGAGGCTTGTTACGAACGGTAATAAGGAGCCGCTTTTGCCGTGCGTCTGCGTTTCTGCATGTAATTATAGTTCAGTTCGCCGGTGCCAGTGGTTTCGTCGATTCCCTTTTTTTCTCGCAGTGGTTTGAACCAGCACAATCTAATCGAATTGCTTTCCGGAAGAAATTTTCAATCCTTTGTGACGGGTAGCTCAGACTACATCGTTCCCTTGCGCACAGGCTTTCATGTATTGGCGCAAAAATCCGACCCGGTTCGGGGGTTTAAGGTCTGGCGGTTATTTTCCAAAATTACCGCATATTTAGTTTGAGGAGCAAGTGGTTATGACGCAGGGTGTAGTTTGCTGTTTCAGATACCTGGTTTCGTGTTGAAGTTATGAAAGTAATCACTGCATGGTTTGTCACCATGAAAACTGCGCTTATGATGCAGAAGAATAATCAGCTTGAGGAAGGGTGTGCGAAGATAGTCAGAGTTCCTGTTCTTGGCAAGTGGTTCTGTTTTAGTTATCGTTGTCGGATAAATGCTGTAAACCTGCCCTATCTCCGATGATCTGTGGGTTGCATCTAAAACCGAGTGGTCCTTCTTGAGGTACCTTTCAGGCTTTTGTGTACTAACCAACAGAATGACCGCTGGTCAGGCTGTTATCGCGGAGTTTCGCTGTGCAGGATGAAATTTCCTGAGTAGTGGTTGTTTCAGCAGTAGGACTTTACCAGTGCTTTAATGCATGACTTTGTGGCTCCTCAAGTTGGCCTTTGTTGACTTTGAGACGGGCTGTCTAGGAAGTTCGGTGGTGCATGGGTCGCTTCAGTACTTAGGCTTCTGCCAGCTTCACTTGGATTTGTTTTTGTATGATGGCGATAATCGAGATTGACGTGGCTGTAGCTGTTGACTGTGCTTGATCCTGGGCTCGGACTAAAATAGCACTAAGGATATTAGTGAATACTTAATGTGAGGTCTGCCCTCTCGCAGCCTCGGATGTCAGTTCAAACCGAGGACGTCATGCTCCCTGCTGCATGTCCCCTAGGTTCTCGGCACAGATGTCTCCTGGTGGCACTCTTAGTTCTCCAGTTTTCATCAGTTTAATTCCCCACCTTAAATCTATAGTCATAGGTGTTAGAGTCTCTCTGATTTATCTCTGTTGAACTCCGAATACCGTGGTCATGTCTGATCCTGATTCGTTGCATCGTTTGAGGGTTAATGCGGCTCCAGACGCACGTCCCGACCCGGGGTTTAGTTATATCTGCAAATATAGTAGAACGCCCTGTCTCAAGAAGTGTATCATTAGCCCTTCCTTTTGTTTATAACCTGTTTGCAGAGTGTAAGATATGTCGGCTAGTTATAGGAAGTCGGGTTTATATTGCCCACTCCTTTTGAAACACGCACCATAAATGCTTTATTTACGCTCCTTAACCTCGCTGCTCTGCTGCCTAGCTGAAGTGATCGAGTCAAGCGCCTCGTGTGCCAATGGCCTGCTAACACTTTTTCGCATTCTGCTGTTTTTCGTCATTCTGACGTTTGTGTCACGCAGTGAAGCTATTACGCGTTCCATTGTCTTGTGCTTCGTTATTCCGCCTGGCAGAGATGGTGTTTCGGCATCATGCCCAACGGCGTGTGGGTACACGCGCCAACATGCTTTGGCTTCTCCGACCTCGCAGCCCAGACATAATCTGTGCCGTTTGATTTTTATATTCCGCCCTTGTGATGCGGGGCTTTTACACGTGAGGGAAAGTAGGCAGCACGAACTTTCACAGGTTATTATGAGGAGGCTGCGGCATGCTCGTATGACCGCAGATTCCGGTTTTAACTTGCTAGAATGTGTCTTCAGAAGAATAATTTACCTGGGTTTATATGATCTAGTTAAAAAGGGCGAACAGATAGTTGCAGGTGAACGGGACGCAGTTGCTCGAGTCTTGCCTATGTTTAACACCCTGTACAGATATCTACTTCGCAATTCTAACTATTTTGTATCAGTGGTGTAACATTGAGTTCGTGTCAACTTCCGGAGCTCCGTTCGTTTCTGTCGAATGAAATAGAAAAACAGTTGATTGGTCCCCTATTGAGTACTTGATGGAGGCAGCGCTTGGTTGTCTGGAACAATATACCCAAATTACCAAATAATTTCCCTTGTGTACTTGTAATTTTCCGTTGTCTAGTGAACAGTATTCCCTGTCCTCTTATGAAAATCTACAGAATTTATGCTTTTTAATGTCTGTCCTCACGAAAAACTGATCTTCTACAGATCATAAGCTACTGCTCAGCGAATTTTTGGAATGGTATTGTCTTGGATGACGAGGTGGAGGCTTAATGAAAGTCGGGCATGCTGGTATGTGGATTATTGTGGCAGCAAAGTTCAGTTCAAAAACATACTAGGAAGTAGTAGCCAAGATTTGATGGTTTTCTCCACTTGCAACACGAAGAGGCGTCATAGAGTAATCAATTTGGGGTATATACCGTCTCAAGAACATACCTCGCGGGCGTTGATCCATACTAACAATCTTAACAGGGCTTTAACGTCAGTTAAGATCCATCTCCTTGTCACTGTTCCTTGAAATTTGGACGCATTGCTATTGTAGTAAATATCCCCATAATCTTCGAAACAGCTCGTTGCTTAACGAAAGGATGGTGTCAAAGTCGACGGATCGTATCCGAGACACTGATAATCAACTCAACGTAAAATTATGGACAAACTTAGTGGCCCTTATGAACTAAAACGAGCAACCTAAGAGATCAGTAGCCGGTTATTGATCGAGGGGGGCTATTGGCACCTGGCGTTTCCTGAGTTAGAAGGGCATCAAAAGGAAACCAAAGCAGGAGTAGTACGAATGGGCGATGGCTCCTCAGACTATCGTCTCCGCATACAACTCCTATGCGATACAGCGCCTCCGCTAGGATTCGTCTTATTGGACTTTTGATTTTTGTCTCAGCCGCCTTAAACTGTTTCATTTCTTTCGCGCTTCTCTACTCTCATGTTTGCTAGTTCATTGTAACACTCCAAACTTTCTGCTGTTACAATGGTCTTCTAAGGCTACTTTAAATTGCTATGTTCCGCTGTATGCTTAAAAATCCACCTTAGCTACCCATGAAAAGGATCCTTTGCCAGCCACCACTTATAGGGCTATAGCCCACTCTTAAATGTCGGTGACCCTAAATACCAGTCACAAGTATATCCCCATCTTCATTTAATGGTGTTTTTGTGAGAAGCTTGTACTTTTCCCATCAATTAATTTGCCAATTTTCCTGCTGCTTTCTTCTAGGCGATGCCGGCGCCGCCTGAGCGATTAAATGCCCACGAACTTCTTACCGAATTCGAGTCAACGATTGACGTTTCCTATATTGACGCCTGTTTTGCGATGCGCCAGTGCAATTAACTACTCTCCAGTCGACGACGAACTTGTGTTTATGTGTGGCAGACTATCGTCTGTCCATTCTTCCCCTGTGCATAAACGTGTGTACATGCCTAACTTACATACCGTTTTTTTCCTTGTGATAATTTTAGTCTGCGAAATACACTTGAGACTTCTGATCTTTACGTCTGTTACGCCAGTGGCGTCGGGGTCCTGACTGCGATGATGTTATGGTGGCTTATCAAAGCATTTCGTGAGTACTGGTGGAGGACTGGTCATAGGTATAAGTGCCGCCCCCTTCGCACTGCGGGCGTCCCTGCGCTAACTTCCAAAGGGAACCTAACTTTAACAATAATTCTAATGATAATGCTCGTTTGGCACAAGACCATCTGTTACACGGAGGGCACTTATAAGTTTGGTAATTCGGTGCTCGTGTTACGGAACACACTCGTCTC